GTTCTCGCGCTCTTCAGAACCGCTGTCAGAGCACAAATCAGCCTTGGGCATGGGCTGGCGTTGAGGGCCTTGGACTTGTCATTGTATTTTCGTGGGCCGTTTGCACCTTTAGAAGCAACCACCCTTCCTCTAGGGCTGCTCAAAGTCCCCAAACCACAGCAAGTCCCTAGAGTCACCAAAGGAGAAGAACATTTTTTTAGGGGGACGGGGGGGAAGGGCGGGGGATTTCCAGGCTGTTGGAGTTGAAAGTATCGTGGCTTTCCATTGGCTGAGCTGGAGCAGTCTTTCATTGGCTGAGTAGTTGCCCATCTTCTTGCCGGGTAAACGAGGGCTAGGCTGAGAGCTCCTGGACGGACCCTGCAACTCCATCTGTTTATTAATCTTCACACCCTCAACAGCTCCTCCGTCCAGAGTAGCAAAGGCCCTGATTCGCTGCTCTGCTCCCGCAGGGCATGGCTGCCGGTTTCCAACACCAGTAGGGCTTCCCAACTACAGGCCCCAACAGGCCTGGAAACAAATCTACACTCTCCGTTACCTGCAACCCACTTTCTCAGAGTAAACTGGCTCCTTTAAAGAGAAATGTTACCGATTGGAAGGGTGTTGGCCGACCAATTAGGGGCTGCTGCCCTAATTGCAAAGGAAGAGCTGGAGGAGGGTTGGAGGGCGGGGGGCAGAGGAGTCAGGGGGTTGGATGCAGCACGGCTGGAGGGAGAGCCAAGCTTGCCCTCGGTGGGCTCCTTAACTGTCCCAATGCCCCAAGGCCCCCACAGAGGCCCGACAGTCCCCTGGGTGGGCAGAAATATGGGGCCCTGGCCTCCACTGCCCTCCCCCAACCAGGGCCAGTTTAGGGTCTGACAGGGGTACAAGGAGGCTCTGGGGCCTGGGGACAGGGGCAAAGGCGGCTGCTCCCACCCTGCACTGGGGAGGCTCCACAGGGGTGGCATCAGGATGGCCACTTTGGACCCAGAGGGGCAGCCCACCGAGCACTGCCCTCCCCCAGCTCTAGGGCTCATTCGCCTCCTGCCAGACCTGCCTGCTCGCTGACCTGACCTCCGGAGGCAGAGGCCCGTCCACCTGAGGCGTGCCCTCCATGGCCCCATCGCCCAGGTCTCATCGAGACTCAGCTCCCCCCTCCCTGCCTCGCCAGCCCCCACACACCCATGGAGCAACTCCAGGAGGGACCCACTCGACGTCCGGTACCTGCGCCTGCCCTGCCCGATCTCACAGGCTGGGAGGGCGGTGGAAAAGGGCAGCCAGCCCTCCTCCCCGGTGCTGCCCAGCGATGGAGGGAGCAGGTCAGGTCGGAGTTTCCTGAGAGGAGAAGAGCTTGACCTTGTTCTCTCCTGAGGTCAGCGCACAGGGGCTCTGGGCACACGGGGAGGGACAGTGGGGTTTGGGCAGGACAGGGGGCTGGGCTGAGCACAGCCTGAGCCGGGCAGGAAGGGCTGCAGCCAGCACCTCTGATGGCCACAACGGGAGGTCAGAGTGGAGGTGGACGTTCAAGAGGTGATGGAGTTTCCAGCCCCTACGTGTGGATTTGAAATACTGTTTCCCACTCAAAGAAACCAGGGTTCCTTGAACATCGTCCCATACACAAGATTGCGGGTTCCATTCCCAGTCAGGGCGCATACAGGGTTTTGGGTTTGATCCCCAGTCCGGGTGCTATGGGAGGTAACCGATTGATGTTTCTCTCTCACATCAATGTCTCTCTCCCTCCCTCTCTCTCTCCCCCCTCCCATATATATCCTATATAATAAGAGGTAATGTGCAAATTGACTGTCACACCCTCGTGCACAAGATGGCCACTCCCATGTCATCACAAGATGGCCAGCAGGGGAGGGCAGTTGGGGACAATCAGGCCAATAGGGGAGCAGTTAGGTGTCGATCAGGTTGGCAGAGGAGTGGTTAGGGGGTGATCAGGCTGGCAGGCAGAAGCAGTTAGGGGCGATCAGGCAGGCAGGCAGGCAGGCAGGCAGGCAAGCAGTTAGGAGCCAGCAGTCCCGGATTGTGAGAGGGATGTCTGAATGCCGATTAGGCCAGGGATCGGGCCTAAACCTGCAGTCGGACATCCCCCAAGGGGTCCCAGATTGGAGAGGGTGCAGGCTGGGCTGAAGGACACCCCTCTAGTGCACAAATTTTTGTGCATCAGGCCTCTAGTGTGTATTTATATTTATATTTATATTTATATTTATATTTATATTTATATTTATATTTATATTTATATTTATATTTATATTTATATTTATTTATATTGAAAAAGAAAAAGAAACCAGGTCTGGGGCAGCCTCTGTGTAAGCTGATAAATGTCCCCCCAAAACATGTCCCTTGGAACGTGTGTGACCTTATTTGGGGAAAAAATCTTGCAGAGCCTGACTGGTGTGGCTCAGTGGTTGAGCATCCACCTGTGACCCAGAAGGTCATGGTTCAATTCCCAGTCAGGGCACATGCCTGGGTTGTGGGCTTGATCCCTAGTAAGGGGTGAGCAGGAGGCAGCCAATCAATGATTCTCTCTCATCATTGATGTTTCTATCTCTCTATACTTCTCCCTCCTTCTCTGAAATCAATAAAAACATATATTTTAAAAATAAAATAAAGAATCTTGCAGACATGATTAAGGATCTTGAGGTCATCCTCGATTATGGGGTGTGGGGACTAAATGTCATGAGAAGTGTCTTTATAAGAGAGAGGCAGACACAGAGAAGAAGCCGTGTGAAGGGGGGCAGGATGCAGCCAGGGCTGGGGGATGCTGGCAGCCATCTGAAGCTGGAAGCAGCAAGAGGCCTCATGGGAGCCTCCGGGGGAGCAGGCCCGGCCGACACCTTGATCTCAGAGGTCTGGCTCCCAGAACTTGAGAGAATAAATGTGTTGCTTCAAGCCAAGAGGTTTATGATCACTTGTTATGTCAGACACAGGAAGCTCACAAAGTGGGAGTCTCGATGCAGCAGACAGACAGCTAGACATCCCCTGAGGCCATTGCCTGCGGTCGGGTCATGGGACCAGCGAGGATGGGGCTGTCTGAGCACTAGTAAGAATGATAACTTCAGCCCTGGCTGGTTTGGCTCAGTGGATAGAACGTCGGCCTGTGGACTGAAGGATCCCGGGTTCGATTCCAGTCAAGAGTACATGCCTGGGTTGCGGGCTCAATCCCCAGTGTGAGAGGCAGCCGATCAGTGATTATCTCTCATCATTGATGCTTCTGTCTCCCTCTCCCTTCCTCTCTCTGAAATAAATAAAAATATTTTTAAAATAACAATAATTCCATGACTTGCCCCAACTGGTATGGCTCAGTGATTGAGTGTCGACCTATGAACCAGGAGGTCACGATTCGATTCCCAGTCAGGGCACACGCCTGGGTTGCAGGCTGGATCCCCAGTGTGGGGCATGCAGAAGGCATCCAATCCATGATTCTCTCTCATCATTTATGTCCCTATCTCTCTCTCCCTCTCCCTTCCTCTCTGAAATCAATAAAAAGACATATTTTTTTAAATCCATGAACTGAAGCCTAAACATGCTGAAATCTGTTTGTTCTTAACACAAAAACGGACGACTTGGCCACCGTTGAGAGATGTTGCAAACGGGTAACTTAAGAGAAAGATGAGCATGTACTTGCCTTTCCTGCACAAATGGTAACCGGAGGCAGTAGGAGGGGCTTCTGGGTCCCGCTGGTCCGAGGAGGCTGGAGGTGCGAGGGCGGGATGCTGCCCAGACCTCTGATGGGGGAAGGATGCTCTTAGCTGACACTGAGCACAGCCTGTGAGGAGCACGCCGCCACCTCCACAGCACCCTTGCCCCCAACAAGCCTCACCCGATCTGACCAGGCCGCTACATTCATTTTCCAATGACCAAAAATAGTGAGGAATTATTTCCTCCAGCCCCGGACAGAAGGAAACTCCCTGAGACAATGAGCCACTTTCTACAAAGAAATAAACTGCCAGGGGGAAGCCAGCCAAGCTGTGGTCTTGAGGGCACACTGGGGGGATGAAACCACATGGAAGGAGGTGATGGCCACGTCAGGATGGGGCTGCACCTGGGGCACCGGACGGGGGCGGGGGGTGGGGGGTGGGGGGCTGGTGTGTGTATTCGTGGTTTGTGTTTGTACCCTGTGCACTTGTTATGTGATTCTGTAGTGTGTTCTTTAGCTATGAGGTGTTTCTTTCTTTTTTAAAAATATATTTTTATTGATTTCAGAGAGGAAGGGAGAGGGAGAGAGACAGAAACATCAATGATGAGAGAGAATCATGGATCGGCTGCCTCCTGCACGCCCCACACTGGGGATTGAGCCCACAGCCCGGGCATGAGCCCTGACCAGGCATTGAACTGTGACCTCCTGGTTCATGGGTTGATGCTCAACCACTGAGCCACACCGGCTGGGCAGGTGTTTCTTTTTATAAGACGATCAAGCCCAGAGGACTTGGTGACTGTTTTGAGAAAGGGGGGGTGGCGACTAGGGTGACCCCAGGTTCTCACTGGGGAGCTGGGAGGGTGACGGGTACAGCAGGACACATGTCCACGAGGCTGGGTACTGCCCCCTGCACTCAGGCTGCCCTGCGCCCAACACACAGGGCTCAGTGAGGTCCAACTCCAGCTGCTTCTAGGTCTTTTTTTTTTTTAGTTTTCTTTTCTTCCTTTTTTTTTAATCCTCAAGGATATTTTTCCATTGATTTTTTTTAAAATATATTTTATTGATTTTTTACAGAGAGAAAGGGAGAGAGATAGAGAGTTAGAAACATCGATGAGAGAGAAACATCGATCAGCTGCCTCCTGCACATCTCCTACTGGGGATGTGCCCGCAACCCAGGTACATGCCCTTGACCGGAATCGAACCTGGGACCTTTCAGTCCGCAGGCCGACGCTCTATCCACTGAGCCAAACCGGTTTCAGCCCATTGATTTTTTTAGAGAGAGTGGAAGAGAGAGGGAAAGACAGAGAGGAACATTGAAGTGAGAGAAACACATCGATGGGTTGCCTCCTGCAGGAGCCCCGACCAGGGCCCAGGCCGGGGAGAAGCCTGCACCCGAGGTAGGTGCCCTTGACCGGGATCGAACCCGGGACCCTTCGGTCTGCGGGCCGATGCTCTATTCACTGAGCCAAACAGCTAGGGCTGCTTCTAGGTCTTTATTGCCACCGAACGAGAGGCCACGGGTGGGGAGCAAGGACGGCAGGCAGGTCCCCCGGGGAGGCTGGGGTGGGCTGTCCCCGTGCCCGACACCGGCTGCCCCCAGGGAACCCGGGCAGGCCTGAGCAGGGCGGGCGGCCGGTCACCAGCTCAGGACCCCGGGACAGTACTTATCAATGAGGCCCTGGTAGTAGGGTCGCAGCTGGTCCACATCCGGCAGGTCGGGACACTTGGTGTAGAGGTCAAACTTGCTGCAGCGAAGAAGGGACGGGTGACTCAGGGGAGGCCCACAACCCCCGCTCCCCGCCACCCCACCCCCCCAGTCTCCGTGGGGTGGCTGTACTTGAACTCCTGCACCCAGGGCAGCATGGCCAGGTCCTGCTCGCTGCACAGCTGCCGGTAGTCGCCCCCCGTGTGCCACGGGTAGAAGGAGTGGAACCGGATCATGTAGAAGGCCTGGGGACAGGAAGAGGCCACCCCTAGTGAGCGCCAGGCTGGGCGGGCGGGACGGCGGGGGGGCCCCTCCCCACACCTACCTCAGGGGGCAGGGAGAAGTTGTTGAACTTCATCACCTGGTACATGTACTCTGTGGGAGAGAGGGGTCACCACCAGGCACCCAGGGGGGCGGCCCCCTCCTTGGCAATGCCAGCCTGTCGCCAGCCTCACCATCGTGGCCCCAGGACATGAGGACGTTCTCGAGCCCACAGTGCGGCTGGTACATGCCGAGGTCCGAGCTGCAGGGAGAGAGGGAGGGTGAGGGGCTCAGAAGCGCCCTGGGCCAGTGTGTGTGGCTCAGTGGTTGAGTGGCGACCTATGAACCAGGAGGTCACGGTTTCATTCCTGGTCAGGGCACAGGCCCGGGTTGCGGGCTCCATCCCCAGTGTGGGGCGTGCAGGAGGCAGCCGATCAGTGATTCTCTCCCATCATTGATGTTTCTATCTCTCTCCTGCTCCCTTCCTCTCTGAAATCAATAAAAATGTATTACATTTTTATTTTTTTAAAATGTATTTCTTTATTGATTTTAGAGAGGAAGGGAGAGGTAGAGAGACTGAAACATCCATGATGAGAGAGGATCATGGCTCGGCTGCCTCCTGCACGCCCCGTACTGGGGATCGAGCCCGAATCCCGGGCATGTGCCCTTGACAGGAATCGAACCCGGGACCTTTTGGTCTGCAGGCTGACACTCTATCCACTGAGCCAAACCAGCCTGGGCTGTACTATATTTTTTAAAAGAAGATGAAGAAACACCCCGTAGAGGACCAGCAGGGGTGGGGGGGGCACCTGTATCGAGGATCCTGGAGGTCGGGGTTGTCCTGGAAGGTGGAGTCGTGGAAAACCACAGAGGCCTGGGGACGGCAGCCCACGGGGAAGGTGTCGCCGACGACCGCCCACTGGGGAGGGACAGGCAGCCATGGGTGGGCACGACTCGCTTGCCCGCCAAGTGGGTGTCCCAAGCCCAGAGCTAAGGCTGTCCGGGCCCTGCCCACGCGCCCTCCACCCCTGCCCTCACCTGGGGCTCCCCCGCCAGAGCCAGCACCTTCCCCAGGTCGTGCAGGAGCCCCACCAGGTGGAACCAGTCTGGGAGGAAGAGGAACAGGGGTGGTGGGATCAGGGCAGGGGAGGGACAGGGGGTGCCAGGGTCAGGGCCTGCAGGGAAAGGGCACCCGGTCTGCCCTCCCAGCCCCAGAGGCAGTGCCTCCCCCACCACAGCCAGGGAGGGGCAGGTGGGGGCGCACCCTTGTCGGGGTGGGCCTGCCGTATGCCCTCGGCCGTCTGGAAGGCGTGGAAGGAGTTGGGGAAGTCCACGTCTGGGTCCGACTCGTCCACCAGCCCGTCCAGCATGTCCACAGCCTCCAGGACGGTCATTCTCTTGTAGGAGAAGCTCCTGAACTGGGAGTGCTGGCCCGGAAGGACCGAGTCAGCAGGCCCACGGGCGGGGCTGGGCCCACGCACTGGGGGCGGGGCAGGGGGGGAGGGCATCCCACCCTCGGAGCTGCCCCGGAGGGGTCAGCCAGGCACCTTCTTCCGGACGAAGTCCACCGTCTGGTGCGTGTGCATGAGCTTGTAGGTGGCGAAGACGCGGTCCAGGAGCGGGCCGGACTGTAAGCCAGAGGGTCAGCCAGGCAGCGGCCAGCCCTGCCCTTCACAGCCCAGGTCCACTGCCCCCTCTCCCTGGGCTGGTCCCACAGGTGTGAAGGGGGCCGTCCCCAAGGACCAAGTGTTGCCCTCCCCAGGGAAGGGCTAGGAGGGGTGGGGTGGGCCTGAAACATGGGGTGGGGTGGGGCCAGAGTGGGGCTTGAGAGGGGTGTGTGGGGGGCAGGGAGGGGGCGCAGGGGTGATAAAGCTGGAGTGGGGGGCTCGGGGTCCAGGACCCACGGGTGAGGGCGGGGCGGGGTCCTCACGGTGTAGTTCCGGAAGCTGCCCTTGTCCTTGGCCGCCTCAGGGTGCCCCTCCGGCCTGTAGACCAGGGAAGGGTCTGGGCCCTGGTTGGTGGGGATTGAGCCCATTTCACCATGATGCCCGCTCCAGGAGGCAGTGGGGACCCCCTCGAGGGCACGAGACTAACTAAGTGGGGGGTCGGCAGCAAAGGCCAGTGGCCGCCCCAGAGCACAGCGCCCGCAGCACACCCCCCTCCGGCCCTGGCACCTGCCGGAGGCCTTGGTGAGTCCTGGTCTGCCGAGTGGATGTCAGCCGGGCGCCTGCTTCTGGGGAGACGCTGTGTAGGGGCACAGACCCATTGAGCCGCCCTCCCAGACCTGGGCGCTGGGAGCCCGGGGGCGGCAGCTGGCCCTTGCCTAGCGGGACCACAAGAGGAGCCGCGGGCTGGCGGGCACCCGCAGGGAGGGGACACAGAGGAGTGGTCAGCAGGGCCTGTGGGCACTGGGCCTGGGGACTCACCACAGCCACCTTCATCCTGAGAGGGAGCAGCGCTGCAGGCGGGCAAGCGTCCCCAGGCCTGTGCCCTTATATATGCCCACGGTTACATAAGCGGCCGGACACCACCCAGCCCCTCGGCCTGGGCCCTCGGTAATGAGTGACCATCCACCCTCCTCCGGGCTCAGCGAGTTGATGGGTCAGCACAGGAGCGGCTCAGCCCCTCCTGCCTGAGCTCCGGACTCCCTCCCGGACAACTGGCCGCTTAGGGTGACCTGTGCTGTGTCCCACAGGCTCCAAACCCGGCCTCGCCAGCCCAGGGCCCTCCCCACAGGCCGTGGGACCCCGCCACCCCCATCCCGCAGGCACCTGGGATCCTGGGCAGGGCCTTGTTCCAGAAACACTTACTCTTCCCAGCCGGTGTGGCTCAGTGGTTGAGCATCGACCTGTGAACCAGGAGGTCACGGTTCAATTCCCGGTCAGGGCACAGGCCTGGGTTTCGGGCTCCATCCCCAGTGTGGGGCGTGCAGGAGGCAGCTGATCAATGATTCTTTCATCATTGATGTTTCTTTCTCTTTCTCCCTCTCCTCTCCTCTCTGGAGTCAATAAAAAATATATTTTAAAAAAAAGAAGGGGGGAGAGGTCAATGGGGAAAAAGGAGACATATGTAATACTTTAAACAATAAAGAATTTTTTAAAAAAGAAACACTCTAACACTTCTATTTATTTATTTATTTTGTATATATTTTTATTGATTTCAGAGAGGAAGGGAGAGGGAGAGATAGAAACATCAGTGATGAGAGAATCATTGATTGACTGCCTCCTACCCGCCCCACACTGGGGATCGAGCCTGCAACCCCAGGCGTGTGCCCTGACCCGGAATCAACTGTGACCTCCTGGTTCATAGGTCGGTGCTCAACCACTGAGCCACACCAGCCAGGCTATTCTGACACCTCAAATGGGAAGGAAGACGTTCCTAGCTGGGCTCCCCCAGAACACAGCCAGGACAGCCAGGAGCAGAGGGCAGGGCGTTCCCACACGCAGACCCAGGGAAAGCCCCGCTGGAAACCACCTCTGCCCACGGAGGGCAGGGAAAGGCCAAAGCAAGAGGCTGCCGCTCACCAGAGGGGTGTGTGAAGCGACATGCACACAGGAGGCGAGTCGTGGGCGGCTGCAAGACCAGACGCATCCCTACCCCGTCCGGCAGGGGCCAGAGCGCGATGGGGCCGGGGCGAGGAGTCCCGGTGCTAGTACCGGAATGCTCCCTGGTGCGGAAATCACGGTACACGCGTGACCAGGGCCAGACAAGGGCCTGTTCCAGGGACCGGCCCACAGCGGGCGCAGGGAGGTGCCAGCCGGTATGGGAACCAGCACCAGCTGTGATCAGCCGCTGTGGGGTCTGCAGCAGCCTCTCCTGATCTGGCCCAGTCTCTCCTGGGGGAGGAGGGCGGAGGGTCCGTGGAAGGAAGATGCCGAGAGCGAGGGGAGACACCAAGCGTCGGGGGTTCTTGCTAAACTGACGGGACAGGATTCTTGCTGAAGGCAGGGCAGGGCGCTGAGACGTCAGGGTGGGGCCGCTGCGAGTACCAGGCGAGGCCCCGGGAGGGCAGGCGGCTGAGAGGAGCCTGGCTGAAGTCTGGTGAAGGGGGAAGGTGGGTCTCTGTCTGGCTCTTAGGGTGAGAGGTTCTGTCTCGAGTCTGGGCAGAGATGAATTCAGGCGGCACTGGGCCAGGCCTGGTACCTGCAGACACAGCAGGGTCCGAACGCACAAACGCACCTGCCTGGCAGGGACGTTCTCCACAGAAGAGGCAGGCACAGCAGAACGAGTCGTGCCGGCTGCGTGGCTCCGTGGCTGAGCGTTGACCCATGCCCAGGAGGTCAGGAGGTCAGGGTTCGATGCCCGGTCAGGGCACAGGCCTGGGTTGCTGGCTCGATCCCCAGTGTGGGGCATGCAGGAGGCAGCCGACCCAGGATTCTCTCTCATCATGGATGTTTCCATCTCTCTCTCTCTCTCTCTCTCTCTCTCTCTCTCTCTCTCTCTCCCTTCCTCTCTGAAATAAAAAATATATATATTAAAAAAAAAAAAAGAAATAGGACTGAGCTCTTGCTGCTCGAATGTGGCCTGAGGCTCCAGAAACAAAACCACTTCCCGCTTCTGTGGGCCGTGATCCACGGGGATGAGCCTGGAGACCAGGGAGGGACGCGGGCGGGACACACCCCAGAGAGCCCCGGACTACGAGCGAACGAGGCTGCTCTCTGAGGACGGACCAGGAAGCTCCCAAAGGAAGACCTTGATGACAAGGGGGGATGTGGACAGAACCGTAAATGGAGCCGGAGGCGCTGCCTGGCACCTCTTACGCCTCAGATCGCTGGGTGTGAAAACGGGGCACAGTCGCCTTTGCACGGGACCCAGAGCAGCCTGTGTCCCAGAGAACTGTGTGCAGAGACGACGAGAAAGCAGGTGTGACTAACCCCTGGGCGGATGGCGGCAGGACTGGAAATGAAACATGGGTGGGAGTCAGCGTCCCTCTGCCAAGCTGTCGGCACCGACAGCCACGCCTTCCTTCTGCGGACGTCACGGTCCCTGCCCCCTCGTGAGCACCCCTCGCGTGGTCTCCTGAGCAGAGCACGATCTGGGCTTCTGCCAGAATCAGTGATTCGGGAAGAGCTTTTTTAAAAATCTCAAATAAACGCTCGTCTCTCACGTTGAAAGGCCTTTTCTTTTTTAGGTTAACAAGAGGTTTGGCCAAAGCAGGGGCTGCCAGAAGACCGTGGGTAGGGGCTGGGAAGCTGGGGTGCTGCCTCTGGACTCCAAGGGGGGGTGCGAGTCGTGGCCGGGGCATGGTCTGGCGCTCAGGGGCCGGGGGGCACCAGGTGTGATGCTTTGACCACAGCAGGTGACCTCGTGATGCGGCACAGCCAAGCGTTAAGGTCAACAGTCCGTCCCGCCTGGAGGAACAGCCGCCCAAGGCTTGGGGGAGGGCCGAGGCCGGGACACCACAGTGCTGCCCCGGGGCCTGGCAGCCTGGCTACCACGAGGGGGTGTACCGCGGGGGGCATCGTGTGCAGGACCGGGCCACAGGCAGGCCAGGACTTTGCCCCCACTCTGCCCTCCGCGTTCCCGGCCCTCTCCTACGCCCTCCCTGCCTGCCTGCCTCGCCGACACCTCCCGGTGACCGCAGGCACTGGCTCTGAGGCCGGCCCACCAGTTCCAGCCTCTCTCAGCTGCTTTGGGGCGGCCTCTGCACTCTCTGCGGGTTTTTTGTTGTTGTTGTTTGTTTTTCTGAATATATTTTTATTGATTTCAGAGAGGAAGGGAGCGGGAGGGAGAGAAACATCAATGATGAGAGAGAATCATTGATTGGCTGCTTCCTGCACACCTCCTACTGGGGATCGAGCCCACAACAGGGCATGTGCCCTTGAACAGAATCGAACCCGGGACCCTTCAGTCCGCAGGCGGATGCTCTATCCACTGAACCACACCAGCCAGGGCCTGACTGTGGTTTTGTCCCTGACCTCTGTGGCTGCAGTGTCTGTCCATAGAGTTGGGATCATGATTGTGCCCCCATCACAGGGTGGCTGAAGGGGTGACAGGGGCAAATGTGGGCAAATTCAGTGCCGTGTGAGTGTTTGCTAAATACAAGAAACCACCTTCCTGGGCCCCGGGTCATGCCCCTGTGACGTGGGGTGTCAGGACTTCGGACCACTGACAGGCTGAGTCGTAAGGAGCCCCATGCACGCTGCTGTGCGCTGTACCCCTCCCCGGGCCCTGACAAACTGGGGACAGCAGGTCCCGGGAGTCCCCACAGTAGGCAGGGCGGGGGTCAGGGAGCCTGGGGTGCCTGTGGAGCCCCCTCTCTGTGTGCCATCCCCACCCCCCGGGAGGTGGCTCTGAGTCCATGGAGCTGTTGGGCTGGGAGGTCTTGACCACAAGCCGGCCTGCCTGGCCCTGGGACGTGGGAAGGGTGTCTGTCTGCTCTGCCCCAGAACATCGTGTGGCTCTATTTTTTAAATATATTTTTATTATTGATTTCAGAGAGGAAGGGAGAGAGAGAAGCGTCACTGATGAGAGAGAAGCACTGATTGGCTGCCTCCTGCACGCCACACACTGGGGATCGAGCACACAACCCAGGCACATGCCCTGACCGGGAATTGAACCATCACCTCCTGGTTCCTAGGTCGATGCTCAACCACTGAGCCACGCCGGCCGGGCTAAAGCCAGGATTTAATCTGACGACGGGCCAGCAGGGAGAGGGTTCCCACGGGCCCGGAGGTGGTGGCACTGCGTGCTCAGGACTGACTTCTGCTCCGTGACCTTGAGCAGGCCTCCTCCCTCTGAAGCCCTTTCCTGCGTGGGATGCTGCCCCTGAGCATGTGCGCTCCTGGGTGCACAGACCCCGGGGCATACGGACTCTGCCTGCAGGCCTGCCTGGGGCCACACATGTGCATGGTCTGCGGGTCCAAAGCAGTTCCAGGTAGCTCGCTGCAGCCCCTGGTGGGTAGGTTGAGGGGGAGGTCTCTGCTGTCTGCGGGGCCCTGGGGCTGGACTGGGGCTGGGCTGAGCTGCCGCTCTGGGGTTGGGGTGCAGCATCTGGCTAGGGCGTGGCCTGCCCCACCTCAGCCATAGCTGTGGGGGCTGCTGGGGTCCATGGGGGCCGGGTCCCGGGGGCCGGCCGATGCCACCAGCTGCCACAGGCGGTGGCTGAGGTTCTGCACCTGGCAGGTGCTCAGCACACAGCCTGCCCGCAGGAGATGGGCTCTGGGCCTTGGGGGGCCCAAGTATCGACGGGGACCACTCCGGAGAGGCTGACCCGCGGCAGGGGGCAGACTGGCGCCCCTCTTTGGCTGCAGGGCCTGGGGCGGCTTGTGGATCACAGGCCGGGGTGCAGGGTGCTGGGGCTGCAGGCCGATAGCAAGGGTCCTGGCTGGAGGCGCCCTGCAGAGGAGATGGAGGAAGTAAACACGACAACCCAGCCCTTCAGGGACCCTGCTTTCTGCCTGGAGAATGCCAGGGGGAGCCCCAGGTGCTCCCCCTGGCTACTCAGCCACTCAGTAGCCCAGGTCCCTGCCCCATTCACCCGCGCCTCCTGGGAAAAGGGCACCCCTGGCTTCTGAGGGTCACTGTGCTCAGGGCCAGGGGCCCCCCCTCAGCCCTTCCTGCAGAGCGGGGAGGTGGCAGGCCTGGGGACCCTACAGCCCCTGTGCCCTGGCCAACCTCTCTGTTGGGGAGGGCTACTCGGCCGGGGGGAAGGAGGGGAGCCCTGGGAGGGAGGCAAAGAAAGAGGGGCCCTTGCACTGACCAGGCTTTGCTGAAGGCTGGGGGCTGGCCCTTGATTCTGAGGGTAAGCCCTAGCAGCAGGGGGTTTCCCCAACGCGGGAGCGGTGGGGGGGGGGGGGCGCGTGCTGGGGAGGGGGCTGGGCAGAGGGGCCTCCCAGGTGTTCTGGTTTCTGCAGCTTCGGCCAGGAGACAGGCTGGTCTGCACCCCGCTCACCTGGGCCGGGCGGGCTGCCGGCTTCCACCCTGGCCGCGGGGCAGTGCACCTGGGAGCTGCAGGTAGAGGAGGCTGAGGCATCCGAGGGTGACGGGCAGGAGCCCGGCCATGGCGGCGGGTGGCGGGTGGCGGGAGGCGAGCGGGCAGGTGCGGGGAGTGGAGGGCTGCAGCCACCCTTCCTGGGAGCCTCCGCGTGGGGCTGGCGGCTGGCACCTGCGACCAGCAGTGAGCGGGTCCTGCTTAGGACGGAGCCCGGCACCTCTGGACCCAAATAGCCTCCCCAGGAGTGGACAGGGCGGGCGGGGCGGGGCGCCCTCCCCAGCCTCCCCAGCTCCCCACCCCCCGCTTCCACCGGCTCCCCAGCCTCCTAGGCAGAAAGAGCGGGTGCTGGAGGGGTGCGGGTCCGCAGGGCTGGTTCCCACCCACCACCTCTCCTGGAGGGGGGGTCCCAGCCGCAAATGCCTGGGCGGAGGAGCAACTCCGGGGCCTGGCAGCAGCCCTGCGGAAGCACAGAGGCTGGGCACTCGGTTCCCCATGGAGACGAGTGCAAGACCCTCAGCCCAGCAGCTGGCTTCCTCAGCTGCACCCTGTCCCCTCACGGCTGAAGGACGAAGGGATGTCTGTGAGCAACTTAAACAAGGAGAGAGTGAGGTCCCCACTGCCACCCCCCCCCCCCCCGCGGGCTCCTGCACGGCCCGGTGGGCACCCCACTCCTGACTCCTGCTCAGCAGGCCTGTGTGAGCGTCACTGAGTACACAGGCACGAGCAGCTAAAAACACTTGTCCGCACAGCGCCCTCCCCACGCTCCCACTGTTGGCCCTGCTCCCACGTGCAGGTGTTCTGCGGCTGACTTCATGGATCCTTTTCTTTCTTTCTTTTTCTTTTTTAAAAAAAAATATATTTTATTGACTGTTTTACAGACAGGAAGGGAGAGGGATAGAGAGTTAGAAACATCGATGAGAGAGAAACATCGATCAGCTGCCTCCTGCACACCCCCCACTGGGGATGTGCCCACAACCAAGGTACATGCCCTTGACCGGAATCGAACCCGGGACCCTTCAGTCCGCAGGCCGACACTCTATCCACTGAGCCAAACCCGTTAGGGCTCTTCGTTTTTCTCTTTTTTAAAAAAATGCAGTGAGTTATTATAGATATTGTAAATTCCCAAAAGCTATACAGAATCTCTGTTCCCAGAGTTCTGTGTGGGAATCTGAAGGCTGGCCAGTGGTGAATTATGTCCAATGAGACAATGCTAGACCAGTGCTAGGATCCCATCCTCCTCTTTGGCTGCATGATGTTTGTGTGGATAGCAGGGTCCTTTATTTTTTATTTTTTAAATATATGTTTATTGATTTCATAGAGGAAGGGGGAGGAGAGTTAGAAACATCGATGATGAGAGAGAATCATGGATCGGCTGCCTCCTGCACGCCCCCTACTGGGGATCAAGCCTGAAACCCAGGCATGTGCCCTGACCAGGAATTGAACCATGACCTCCTGGTTCATAGACCGACACTCCACCACTGAGCCACACTGGCTGGGCCCATCGCCCTTTCTTGGATGATTGAGCACCTCTGAGTCTACCCCTCTCCTCATCCTTCAGACCCTCCCCGGTCTCTTCCCCTCCGTCAGGCTCCTGTGAATGACCTGCCCCCTCCATGCCCCCTGCTGAGCACACCCTGGGAGCTCAGGGAACATGTGCTGGATGAAGGAGCCCACAAGTGTTGAGCAGGTGCCACAGCGAAGAGCTCGGTTTGTACCGGGGAAGGTAGGGAGCATCGGTAACCCCATTGCTATTTGTTGACTTTTACAGAGTAGGGAGCAGAGTGAGTGGTGCAGTCACATGTGCAGTAGACAAGTGGAGTTCAGCAGGGAGGTGGGGGCTGCGGGCGGGGGAGGGTGCGGGGGGAGGGGGGACAGAGTGGATGGGTCAGAGAGGAACTGAGCCAGGCAGGGAGTCACTGGAGAGAATGGAAGGTTAGCTGCCTGGGGCCGTCCTGGCAGAGGCGTCTCACAGGCCCAGGGCTGCAGAGGGAGAGACGGTGCTGGGAGTTACCGATGTGGCCAGGTTGGGGCGGGTGGGCGTGTGAGCATCGCTAAGGAGAGTGCAGAGAGGACAGAACGTGACATGCCAGCTGTGAAGGGACAGGCAGGGAAGGGGCATGGAGGACCCGGGGACATGATTCTGCACCAGCTTCTCCTCACCAGCCCCCGTCCCCCCACTCCTTGCCTCAATCTGTTATCCACACCGTTGCCAGAGTGTCCTTCCAAACCACAAGTGTGATCATATTCCTCCCCCCACCAATGATGGAAATTTCCTGTCCCCACCAGGTGCTTTAAAAAAAATGTTTTCATTGATTTCAGAGAGAGAGGAAGGGAGAGGGAGAGAGAGAGAAAAGCATCGATGGAGAAACATCAGTCTGCTGCCTCTTGCACACCCCCTGCCAAGGATCAAGCCTGCAACCTGGGCATGCACCCTGGCTGGGAATTAACCGCGACCTCTCGGTGCTCGGTGCACGGGACAGTGCCCACCCAGCTGAGTCACGCTGCCAGGACACATAGGAATGGGAGGTGCAGGTGAGTCTCAGTGAGGTGTGGGCCCAGGGCTCACTGCATTCTTTGTCAGGACACTCGCTGCCACCATGGGCCCAAGGTCCCATCTCCCCGAAAGCCCACAGACGGGGCGCCCTCTGGGCACAGGCTGCTTATTTTGCCACTGGATTAGCGGCCCCTCTGTGACCTCACAGCCCCCTGCACAGCGCATGGGGCACTTGTCTGTGATGTCCGTGTGCCCTCGGGGGTTCCTTCCTTCGGCCTCAGTCGGAGGAGCTATTTCTGGGGAGTGGTGGGCTGGCTGCTGAGAGCTGCCCACCGATGGAGGTGCCCCTGGAGAGAGGGCCCAGGCCACAGCCAGCAGGTGGTGCTTTAGAGAAAGTCATGAGAGGCAAGAAAAGCCAGGGTAGCCTGGCTAGGCTAACGTCTTCGAGGGCAGTTTTAAATATATATATTTTTATTGACTTCAGAGGGGAAGGGAGAGAGAGATAGAAACATCAATGATGATAGAGAATCACTGATTGGTTGCCTCCCGCATGCCCTCCCCCCCAACTGGGGATGGAGCCCGCAACCCGGGCATGTGCCCTTGATCAGAATCGAACCAGGACCCCTCAGTCCATAGGCCAATGCTCTATCCACTGAGCCAAACTGGCTAGGGCCAGGGCAGTTTTGTAGAGCACCTTAAGGTGAGAGAGAGTGCGTTTACCTCTGATGGCCAGGATCCCCGGAGAGGAAAAGACTGAGCAAGAGGCAGAGAGGAGAATGGCAGAGCCTGCAGTAGCGGTGGACGGAGGTGGGGGTGAGGGAGGCGGGCTTGGGGTTTGGTGATGCAACGCGTGGCTGACCATGGGGTGGCTCCTGTGTTTTCTGTAGAGGAGGGCCGTGGGGCTGGGGGCAGAGGTTTGAGGAGACTTCGGGGTCGTCCATCAAGGCTGGGCTGTGGTGTCACGGTGGCCATCTGCACTGTCAGTGGAGCAGGGCTCCAGGAGACGGGTGGGCAGGACCGTGTGTGTCTGGGGTTTGCCAGACCGGGACAGTGAAAACCCAGGCAGAGAGGTGGGGGCAGGGCATTGGCAGCTGACAGGTGAGGGAGCCACACTGGGTGGAGGCCGCCATGGGGCGGGGCTGGGACCAGGGAGGGTGGCTCCCTGCAGGAAGGCCGGGGGAGAGCAGGGAAGGCACAGCCCCTTCAAAGGGGAGGAGGCAGGCAGGAGAAGCACCCGAGGGGGGCCTGTTGAGTGTAGAGTGCAGGAAACCCCATGGCCAGAAACTTCGGTGGGGCATCATGGTCCAGAGCGAACCCCCAAACCTGCCCGTGACCCTAAGGTGCCTCTGAGAGGGCTGCAGAAATGGGCTCCAGCTACGTGCCTGCCGGGCTCGGGGAGCCCAGGACCCTTTTGGCTGCAAGTGACGGAAACCAATGCCGACAGAAGCAGGGGACCCCGGCTGTGCCTGGGCCTGTGCGCCCAGGTGGGGCGGGGAGCCTGGCGGGCTCCGTTCTCGTCTCTGGGTTTGGTTTCATTCATTCTCCCCGGCGGCCGCAGGTCGAGGGCGGGGGGCACTGTCGGGTCCTGGGTGTGCGCCCAGCCGGGCCTCCTGCGGCCGCCGGTCATGGCCTCACCCTCCTGCCGTGGATTCCAGGCGGAGCCCCCCTCGGGCTGGGAACACTACGGGCAGGGCCAGGGTCCGCCCCCGCCGCCAGGGGACGCCCCGGGCCCCCCTGTGCGCATCCGGGGGCCCCGCGGGCAGGGCCAGGCCCTCCAGCCTCCCGCCGGCTGACAGCGCCGCGGCCGGGGCACTGGGGAGCGGGCTGCGCCAGCCGCTGACCCGCCGGAGCCGCCGTCGCTGTCCCCGCCCCCGGGGCTGGACCAATGGGAGCGCGCCTCTCCGGGCTCTGCCCAGGGGGCGGGGCCTAGAGCCCGCGGGGCTGGACCAATGGGAGCGCGCCTCCCGGGGCCCTGCCCAGGGGGGGCGGGGCGAGGCCGCGCACGCGCAGGGCGCGCCCGGGCGGGCCGGCTGGCTGGGAAGATGGCGGCGGGAGCCCTGGCTGCCGCCGCGGAGCGGGCCCCGGGCGTCCGGAGAGCGCGGGCCGGGGCGGGGGCCGGGCCATGAGCACGCCGCCCTCGCGTCCCCGAGCCGCGGAGCCCGCCCGCCCCTCGCCATGGCGCGGCTCGCGGACTACTTCGTGCTGGTGGCGTTCGGGCCGCACCCGCGCGGTGAGTGCCGGGGCCGGAGAGGGTCGGCCGGGGCGGGCGGGCCGAGGCCGCCGGGCCAGCGTCGCGATCGTCCGGGGCACCTGCCGCGCCGGCCGGGTCCGGGGGGCCTGGGTCGGGGGCGGGCGGGCGGGCGGTGAGAGGGATCGGGTCGCGCCGCCGCCGCACTCGGGGCAGAGCCGGGGCAGGCAGCGCCTCGGCGTTGCCGCGAGGAGAGCGGGCCCGGGCGGTCGCCTCCGACTCCCCGTGGGTGGGACGGGCTCCCCGCCTCGGCCGGCTGCCGGGCGGCTCTGCCTCCAGCGACGCGATCGTCCGCTCACGACCCCCTCGCCGACCCCGGTGCCTCCGGCCTGCAGCACAGGCCCGGCGCGGGGTGTCCCCCGCCCAGGCGGTTGGGCGGGTGCAGGCGAGGGCGAGGGGTTCGGGTGACACTGCACCTGGAGGTGGTGGTGGAGCTGGAGTTGGAGGGTTTCAGGAGGAAATGGGGGAGAGAAGAGCCTTCCTGGCAGAGGGCCGCGTCCGCAGGCCTGCAAGCCCGGCCGGGCGGGGGTCAGCGCGCTGCCTGCTGTCCGTCCGCTCCGCGAGGGCCTGTCCGCGCTCAGCGCCGTGTCTGAGAGCCCTTCAGCGCAGCGACAGGAGAGCACAGCCCGGCCATGACATCAGCAACAGCCGGGCGGCAGCGCCTGGGGCGCAGCGCCCGTGCCAGGCCCTGCACAGCCCTTTGTGTGCCTGACCTCACCCTCTGGGGCAGCCCACCCAGCTCTCCCGGCTGGTGCCCCGTGCACAGCGGGCACAGCGGGCTCGGGAGAGAGGCTGGGTGCCTGGCCCTAGGCCCGCGAGGGGGGCTGGGCGTGCTGTGTCGTCGGGGGTGGCTTGTGGTCAGGCTGGGCTGAACCCTGAGCCTGCGGTCCACCCTGCAGCTTGTCAGTCCTGCTGTCAGTCACCACCCAGGACCCAGGCTTCCTCTCCTCCTCGCCTGCTGGGCCCTGCGCCCTGCAGACCCTCCTCAGGGCCCTCCCACTCTGGACTCGCTCCCCCGCTCTGCTCCCGGCTGTCTGAATGCACCCCTGACACCGTGTCCGTGGGGAGCGTGTCTTCTCCGGAGGTGGAGTTCTCACGGCAGGAACCATTCTGCACACGGGGGACGCACTGTCAGTGGCGTACAGGCCAGAGGGGTGCATGGGATCCAGGGAGCAAGGCTGGCCCCTGTGCGGGGCTTGGGCTGGGTGCTGGGCAGGGGCTGCGTGTGCAGAGCAGGCTTGGAGGCTGATGGTGCTGAAGGTGGTGGGGGTCGGCCCGAGGAGGCAGAGACCGTGCTGACGGTGTGACAACAGACGTGGGGCGTGGAGGGCGAATATGAGGGAGGCAAGAGGAGGCATGGGTGGGCTCCGTGACCAGCTGGCTGTGACGTGTGCTCATGGGTATGCACCCCACAAGTATGTGCCGTTTAACCAGAACGGGGAAGGCGGGAGCCCACAGTGCCCACTTACCATGAGTGACAGGAAGGAGTGATTCCCAAGCTGTCCACTGCCTTGGGGGTGGGGCTCTGGAGCCCCAGGACCACTGCTCCAGGCTCCTGGCCAGCCACCAGCCT